ACATCCTATGAGCATGATATCTAGTCGTCATTCAGAAGTATAATGAAACAGTAAACAATTTCAGGCAGTTTAGGTCCTATAGGCATGTTGTCTATGTGCAATGACTGATTTTAAACAACGGAAACTAAATGCAGCAATTTTAAAGCCGGATTGGCATACACTGATTTTAAAATCACAAACGTAGTCTCCAAAATGTAAGATTAATTTTACCCTATAGGCATGGTTTCTAAATATTGAACATGCTGAACCTATTTATCATGACTCATAAGTGCAGAAATTGATTATTTTTTTTAACCTATAGGCATGATATCTAAAAGTGCAAGATTGATTTTTAACCTATAGGCATGGTATCTAGAATGTATGCAAAACAATCAAACAACGCAATGATTTCCGGTTGCAAAAGTTTAGTTTGACCCTATAGACATGATCTCTATAATGCATACAAGTGATGAACATTGCAATGTCCTATATGTATGGTTTCTAGGAATGTAAACACTGATTTTAAATCCTATAGGCATAATATCTACCCATCCCCAACAAAATGTGTATAATAATCCCTCCCAGTTTACTAATTTCCCAAATATCTATTTACAAAGTAAATAGTATTACAAACCAAGTGTAGAATGAATTACAAGAATGATAACAGTATACAATAGGGAGCCTGGATAGGCCCAAAGCAAATCCTGGGGAACCAGGCCTTCAAACGGTCTCAACTACCATATATCATAGCGCCAGGGAGGGTATCTTAGTGTGTCAAAGTTCCCAAGGGCCTCTAGGACCCAGGGCAGTGCTCACACCAAGGCCTCCTTAAAGGCTAAACAGCTTGTGCAGTGTGGAATAGCCAGCCCAGTGTGTCAAAGTTCAGAGGAGTCTCATGGACTCCAAAGCAGTGCTCACACTGGAGGGGCGGGAACCTAAGTATTCTAGGAATTGAAGTGATAGTGATTTGCAAGAATAGTTTTGAGGAAAAAGCAGTTTCAGACTTTCAGGAAATCAGAAGTAAACAGAATCATTCAGTTCCTGGAACCTAGGCAAAGGTTCCAGCCAAACAAGCAGCATTCAGAAATAGGATTACTTAAGCTTATTGGT